TTTTCTTTTCTTTTCTTTTCTTTTCTTTTCTTTTCTTTTCTTTTCTTTTTTCCATTTCTTTCTTTTTGCTCTACTTTCTGGGAGGTTTGCTCAACTTTATCATGCAAACTTTCTCTGAAATTTTTTTAAAGTGTATTCATGTATTTTGAGAGACAGAGAACTTGAGCAGGGGAGGGACAGAGAGAGAGAAAGAGAGAGAGAGAGAGAGAGAGAGTCCCAAGCAGGCTCTGCACTGTCAATGCAGAGCCTGATGCAAGGCTCGAACCCATGCGTGAACTTCGAGATCATGACCTGAGCCAAAACTAAGAGATGCTTAACGACTGAGCCACTCAGGAACTCCTCTATGAATTTTTTTTAATTCTGCTGTCATACATATTTTCAATTTCCCAAAGCCCCCTTTAATTCTATGAATAGTTCTTTTAAAAATTACATAATGTTCTTGTTTCCTGGGTACAAAATCACCCTTCTCCTTCTGTGCATATTACTAATAGTTTTCTGATCCCATTAGAGTCTTGCTTTCTTCCAAGTTGCTTTTGTTTGTTTGTTTGTTCTGGCCTCCACCTTTTTTTTTTTTTTTTTTTTTTTTTTGAGAGAGAGGGCACATGTGAGTGAAGGGCAGAAAGAGAGAGAGGGAGGGGCGCCTGGGTGGCGCAGTCGGATAAGCGTCCGACTTCAGCCAGGTCACGATCTCGCGGTCCGTGAGTTCGAGCCCCGCGTCGGGCTCTGGGCTGATGGCTCGGAGCCTGGAGCCTGTTTCCGATTCTGTGTCTCCCTCTCTCTCTGCCCCTCCCCCCGTTCATGCTCTGTCTCTCTCTGTCCCAAAAATAAATAAAAACGTTGAAAAAAAAATTAAAAAAAAAGAAAGAGAGAGAGGGAGATAGGGGGAGAGGGAAAGTGAGAAGCGGGGCTCACCCGGGGCTCATGTTCACCCCAAGTGGGGCTCGAACTCATGACATGAGCCGAAGTCAGATGCTTAACTGACTAAGCCACGCAGGCACCCCGGTTTCCACCCTGATGAGAAAAAATAAAACCCTCACTAAAGCTCTCATAAAGGCCTGATTTATAAAGGAAGGCATTTAGATTTCTTTCTAAGTCAGTGTGACGTACATAAGCTTTGTTTAAACCAAAAGCGTGCCTTATGGCCCGCCAAGCAGACATCGTAGGTCTGCCTTGCAAACAAGTACATACAGGAAAACCGTCTTGTCCTTAAGATATCCATCAGTGCCCCTACCCCCTTGACATTAAATCTTGCGATTCCTGCCTATATGTTAACTTACAACCTTCTGACCTTTCACAAAATGTGAAAAAGCATACAACCCTGTAAAACTTTTCACTCTCCTGAGCACTTTTTTCCCTGTGAAGAGCAAGTTTCCCGGGCAGTCCCCCCAACTTGAGCTCGAATGAAACTCTTTGTGTCTTTTTAGAGATTCCAAAAGATTTGTTCATTTTGCATCCACAAATGCAAACTGTTGGTGTTGGTGGTTTTCCTTACATGTCTGATAATTTTCGGTTATCTGTTCAAAGTTACCAGTGAGGTTCTGAAAAACTTTCTGGGAAATTGTGGTCCCATGGGTGAGCCTCCTTGACTGCCGTCTTCAGTTTCAGGTGCTCTGGCTGGGCCATTTGATTATGGTGCTCTTGATGGCAGTAACATTGTGTCTTCCCTCTCCATTCGGTCAGATACCCCAGACGACATGCCAATCTCCAGCATTCTGGAATCAAAATGGAGGCAAAAGAGCTCGGCTTTTACTTGGTTACCAATGTTTCCATAAATGTTCACAGAAAACACCATCCTTCTGTTTACAGTGTTGAATCCTGTCCCCAAATGTGCCAAGTGTTCCCTAGAAAGTGATTGTCTCGGTTGACCTTATCCGGTCTCTGCGAGGCCGGGAGAGGGCAGTTACCTGGCTCTACGGTGTTGGATAGGGCATGTAGCGATCTAACTGCTTCTTAAACACTCACAAACCAAACTTCCCATTTTTAATCCCACTTTATACGCATTTCCAAAAGTAGTGACATTCCCACACCTTTTGGGAGGTCTGCGATACAACCAGGCACTCCCTAGCTTTTTCCAGAAAAAAGGTGTAGGGGTCAGCTTTCTCAGGTCTCATAAGACACCTCTTGGGGTGCCTGGGTGGCTCAATCGGTTAAGCGACTGACTTCAGCTCAGGTCATGATCTCGCAGTTCGTGAGTTCGAGCCCTGCGTCAGGCTCTGCACTGACAGCTCAGAGCCTGGAGCCTGCTTCAGATTCTGTGTCTCCCTGCCTCTCTGCCCCTCCCCTGCCTAGGATCTGTCTGCCTCTGTCTCTCAAAAACAAATAAACGTTTAAAAACTTAATAAGATACCTCTTGTCTGTACGGCTTCTAAATTACTAAATCTTATTGTTTTGTCTTCCCTCTTAGTATCATTTCCACTGTGGGTTTCTGCCTGAAAATAATGATTCCTTTACTGTCATTTTATTAGGTTTCAGAAGAAAACCAAAGTAAAGAACGAATATCCAACTGATCTCCCTACTCAGAAGTCCACTCTGCATCTTCCCAACTCAAAGCTCGCTCAGGAGTGTTTGAAAACAACCAGACCTGCTTTATAATTTTCCCGTTGGCCAACTGTGTCCGTGGAACATAAATTACTACTCTGACTCGTTCTTTTATCTGAGCAACCACAAGTTCATTCACTTTTCTGGTTCACTCGTCAATGGAAAAGGAAACTAATTGCTAGTAGCTTTAACCCTAGCCAAACGGATCTTGTAAAACTCTTTGTATCTTCCTAGCTTTGGTCTTTGAATACTGACCCTCCCCCTAACTCCTGATTTTCTTCCAGAATAACAAAGCCTCCAATTAAAAAAAAAATTTTTTTTTTAAGTTTATTTATTTCGAGAGAGACAGAGACTGTGTGAGTAGGGGAGGGGAGAGAGAGAATCCCAGGCAGGTTCCGCCCTGCCAGCACAGAGCCCAATGGGGGGCTTGAACTCATAAAACCGTGAGACCATGACTTGAGCTGAAACTGAGAGTCAGGTGCTTAACAGACTGAGCCACCTGGGCGCCCCGAAAGCCTCCAAATTTTGAGCGCTCAGTATGTGCTAGGAACTGGGTTAGACACTTTCATGGTCATTATTTCATTTAACCCTCCCTATAATTTCCTGTAATGTCCTACAGTGTCCATGCTGTTGTTCCCATTTTATACAGTGGGAAACAATCACCCTGAAAAGTTAAAGGATTTGTTCAATTTCACATGTCTGTTAAGTGGTGAAGCTAGGGTTTGAATCCAAGTTGGCCTGACTCCTGACCCATTTCTTTTTTGTTTTTAATGTTTATTTATTTATTCATTTATTCATTTATTCATTTATTCATTTATTTATTTATTTTTAGAGAGAAGGTGGGGAGCAGAGAGGGAGGTAGAGAGAATCCCAAGCAGGTTCTGTGCTGTGAGCACAAAGCCTGACGTGGGGCTCAAACTCACCGACCGTGAGATCATGCCCTGAGCCAAAACCAAAAGTCAGACACTTAATAGACTGAGCTATCCAGGCACCCCCTGACTGATTTCTACTCTACTATGCTGTCTTAATGATTCTTTCTTTCTGGGCTTTTTGAGTGGTTATTTTCATGTCCCCAGCTGATGTAATTATGTTCACCTCTCCTTTTCAATTCAATGTTTACACTCTATGTCCTACGACAGTTCATGGCAACCAGCTGCTTCAGTCTTTGTGAATGTCTACACTACCTTCCTATCTAACCTGTATCTGGCCACCTACCTTAGGTATATCACTCCTTTGGGGATTTCATGACCTACCAAAGATTTATTTGGTGCTTTTCACGTACTCCTATTACACATACAGAATCCTATAGCACATGTACAAGCCGTGGTTACCATGTTCATAAACAGTTTACTTATCTGTCTCTCAACTACACTAAACTACAGACTCCCGAGGACAGTGGCAATATTCACCTCATTCCTGTGACATGTCTATGACCTAATGCAATGCCTGATACATAGCAGGTGCTCCTTAGATATTTTGTTGAATGAACAAATAATGAATAAAGTTATGTATACACCCCCGTCTGAATGAAAACAAAAGTCTAATTTAAAATGATGTTCTAATGATATTTTAACATTTGTCGAACAGAATTTCATGAACACAAGTCTTTAGTGCTTTTCGTTCATTATTCAGAGCATAGACACTATTTTCACTTCAACATTTTCAACCGAAGTGTTGACATTAATCCGTGATGTGAACCCTGACAGGTTTTCAAAATACTGACTGAATTTCACTACAATTTTAAAATGTGAATTTTTATTTAAATAAACTCAAAAGTCATCTTATCCTTGATAAAAATATATCATGCTCTGAAGCCTTTCACTTTAAAAAAAATTTGTGTGTGTGTGTGTTTATTTATTTTTCAGTGAGAGAGAGAGAGCACCAGCTGGGGAAGGGCAGAGAGAGGAGGAGACACAGAATCTGAAGGAGGCTCCAGGCTCTGAGCCATCAGCACAGAGCCCGATGCGGGGCCGGAACTCACAAATCTGAGATCATGACCTGAGCCACCCCGGCGCCCCTGAAGCCTTTAACTTTAATTGAAAAAAATTTCACTACATAATTACAAAGCACAACGCAAGAAATAACTCCAAGAACTATTTTTGATCTTCATGTGTTATTATGAATGGAACTGTTTCAAGTTTTCATGTGATAAAACTTCTTACCTTAATTTCGGAGGAAACAGAAACTCATACAGCTGCTATCAGAATTTCTGCGAAATGTTTCTCAGGAGATGTGTTTGTATCCAGTTCAAACATTCTATGGTCCTAAATCACCCAAGTGAAAAGGGCAGATGGATGGGAGAGAATGTCAAGAATAGGAATAAATAATAAACTTCTCCTTGAAAGATCCTAACCTTGTAAATGGTTTTGAAAAGATTGCAGGAGTTTAACTGCTTTATCCTGACACCCAAGGCAAGTCATTGGGGTGACTCAAGAGTCCTGTGGATGCAGGCTGGAATCGGAGAAGGTCTGGGGAGGATGTGGTCGATGTTGAGCTACCCTTAACGAAGAGATTTACTGATCAAATATTAACCGTCCAGGTATATTCATACCACGGCCACACAGTAAGGAGACGGATGATCTCCAACTAAAGGTAGAAATAGGAGGGGCACCTGGGTGGCTCAGTCGGTTGAGCGTCCGACTTTGGCTCAGGTCATGATCTCACGGTTCGTGAGTTCCAGCCTCGTGTTGGGCTCTGTGCTGACAGCTCCGGGCCTGGAGCCTGCTTCGTTCGGATTCTGTGTCTCCCTCTCTGTCTGCTCCTCCCCTGCTCACACTCTGTCTCTCTCTCAAAAATAAATAAAGATTAAAAAATTAAAAAAAATAAAGGTAGAAATAGGAGTGAATTTCACAAACATAATGTTGCCTAGACAAAAAAGATTCTACTTCTATAAACTTCAAAAGCAGGAAAAAAATTGGACCTATATTTAGGATATTAATTACTCTGGGAGAATTCAGATGGGAAAGGGGGCTTCTGGAAGCTGGTAATGTTCTCTATCTGGATCTGAGTGCTTGTTACGTGGGCGTGTTTACTTTGTTAAGTTCATGGAGCTGGGCCGTCATCATCGTGTACTCCTCTCCATGTATATTCTACACTGAAAACAATGTCTACTAAAGTAAAGCATCAACTGTACCATTTTCCAACCATCTCTTCCTGTCTCCAAGAGCACCTGATCTAGGAAAAAGATCGTCCTGAACTATGGCCTCCCTAAATGCGGCTTATGGTAGGATATCTAAAACTATAGGAAAATAATGTTAAAACGTAAGTTTCGCCGGGACGATCACATGCAACAAATACGATATTCCAAAACCAGATCACCATATGCAGAATTGACCCAGGAAACCCCGAGAGCCATTTCCAGGGCTCTTCGATCCTACAGGAGTTTTGAAGAGATTATTCTGGAGAGGATTTTCCCGAGGAGAGCTTCCATTTCTGGTTACAGGTGTGGAATGGAAATGAGAAAGGACTGCCACTTCCTTCCCAGGCTTCTACAACACCTCTCAGAGACTCTGAAATGACAATTTTCCTGCATCAGGGAGACTCAAGGATGCAGCCTGACTCCTGACCAAGGATGGTGAAAGCGGCCCGGGCCACCAAGGTGAAGGTTGTGTTGGGATCAGCCAGGATTACTTATGAGCACATTCAATGGATCAGATGGTAGGTCACAGGGGAGAGATCCAGCTAAAGGTCATTCAGGGTCCTGGTCATGGGGTCGCTTGGAGAGCAGAGGACACTAACGGCCGGAAAGTGGAAGCGGTCACAAACGAGTCACAAGAGAACAGTGGGAACACAGGTGCATGAAACAAGTGAAATGACCTATAGGAGGGAAATCTCCAGGAAATCTTCCAGAAGACCTAAGAAACCCCACATAAAGAGGCAGCTTTGGGATAACTGTCAGGCACAGAAAATGCAAAGCCAGCTTATAACAGTACCCGTTCTGCAGTTCTCTAAGAGCGTTTTTTCCAAAAATGTTTAGGTATAGTTGACATGCAATGTTATCTGAGTTTCAGGGCTGCAACGTATTGAATTGGCAGTTCCATACATTACCCAATGCTCCCTGCCCCGGTGTAGTCACCAGGCAACATGGCTGCGAGATTATTGTCTCTTTCCCCTGTGCTGTACTTTTCATCTCTGTAATTGGTGGTTTTATAACTGGAAGTTTGTGCCTCTTTATCCTCTTCATCTATTTTTTTTGCCAGGCTCCCCACCACCGTCTCTTACCTCTGGCAACCCCCAGTTTGTTTGCTGTATTTAAGAGTCGCTTGTTCGTTTGTTTCTTCGTGTTATTTTTTAGATTTTACGTATAAGTGAAATCATATCATATTTGTCTTTCTCTGTCTGATTTATTTCACTTAGCGTAATGCCCTCCAGGTCCATCCATGTTGTCGCAAACGACAAGATCTCATTCTTGTTTCCGGTTGAATAACATTCCACCGGATGTATATCTTGTAGATAGCACATATCCCATCTTCTTTGTCTGTTCGTCTATCGATGGACACTTGGGTTGCTGCCATATCTTGGTTATTATAAATGATGCTTCAATAAACATAGAGGTGCATGTATCTTTTTGAATTCGTGGTTTTGTTTTCATTGGGTACATAGCCAGTAGGGAATTACTGGAGCTTTCTTACATCTGAGTATTCATTCAACCCGAAGAGGTCGGAAACTGGCTGGCCAGCTGGAGGAGGAGAAGAAATGAGCAGTGGCACCAAGAGAAGACAAGAAGCCGACCATGCATTCTTCCCCCTCTTCGCCACTGCAGGCTGCTGGCCCCAAGCCCACTCCGGCTGGGGGGAAGATTCGTCATCATAGATAAGGGGGAGCTTTCCGGTCTCAGACTTGAAACTATGTTTGCGCTTAAGGACTTGTACCTTGGAGAAAGAGAAAAGTCATGGGACCTGCCATACTCCCATGGGGGATGGGCAAGGGTTAGCCCCACTGAATGCAGAGGGAAACCATAGAAAAGATGGGTTTTGTCTCCATCCACCAGTCATACGGTCACAGTATGGGTTACATGGGCATTTACTTTAGTATACTCAGGTGTTTTTTTTTTTTTTTTTTTTTTTAAGCTGATTGCTGAACCATGATCTAGGCCTAGAAAGAGAACTGTTTCAGGATCCTAAATTCATGGTATGCCTGCCCATACAGGTTATTTTATTTGCCATTGCGCCCAGCGGTTCCTCTCACCACTTAATCCAAGCTAAACCTCCAGCTGATACAAGTTTTTAATCTTACACTTTTAAGGATAGTTTCCTTTTATTTGACAGCTCGCAAGCAACGGTTCTCAGACTTTGGTATGGAACAGAATCACCTGGAGAACTTGGCAGACTTATAGAGGTCTACGCCTCATCCTACTTCCGTAAGTTTGGGACTCTGTGTTTGTTCTTACCTCTCTACGTAATTCTGACACTCCCAAAGCATGAGAACTTCTGTCTTAAAAGACACAGATTGGGGCGCCTGGGTGGCTCAGTTGGTTAGGAGTCCGACTTCGGCTCAGGTCATGATCTCTCGGTCTGTGAGTTCGGGCACCGCGTGGGGGTCTGTGCTGACAGCTCAGAGCCTGGAGCCTGCTTCGGATTCTGTGTCTCCCTCTCTCTCACTGCCTCTTCCCTGCTCATGCTCTGTCTCTCTCTGTCTCTCAATAATAAATAAACGTTCAAAAAAAAAAAAGACACAGATTGCTCGGGGATGGGCCGTAGGTTTGGGGACATGGCAGTCAGGTCACCTGAATCTAGCATCCTTATTCTATGTCTTAGCACCACATAGTGATGCCGTTATGAGAATCACAGAGATCACACAAATTGTGGCATGATACAACCTCTTGTCTGTGGCCGTGCCCAGTCAGATGTGTGTAAGGACCAGGGGACACTGAGTCAGGCAAGTCTCTCCTAAGAACCACCACACAGACTGCTTTTCCCTCTTCTGAAAATGTCCCAGTGCTTGTCATAGTACCTAAATTGTTATGGCGATACGGGGGCTGAGGGGGGGGGGGAATGGGTGGAGTGAAATCAACTGGGAGGATATTGGAGATCAACGAAATGGGAAAAAAAGCTTTTCAAAAATTCGTATAAGCTTTGGTCTGATGCTGGCACTTGTCAGGGGCCAACAAATTTTCTAAATGTTCTATAAACCTGTCCGGTTTCAGTTCTTCCCCGAATGGATGAAGATATTTATGGAGACCAGAGTTACTTAAAGCAAAATACTCTGCTTTGCAAACCTATTTCTTAAAGGGTGAATACAAGCAATGAGAAAAATGTTAAGATTTTTTTTTTAAGTTTCTTTATTTTGAGGGAGAGACAGAGAGAGCGAGTGGGGGAGGGTCAGAGAGAGAGGGAGAGAGAGAATCTCAAGCAGGCTCCATGCTGTCAGTGCAGAGCCCTTTGCGGGGCTCCAACTCCCCAACCATGAGATCATGACCTGAGCTGAAACCAAGCATCTGATGCTTCACTGACTGAGCCACCCAGGCGTCCCAACGCTAAGATCTTAGCAGACAAGTGGGACAAGATATAAACAGATACACACATGCCCACACACACGTAGTAAAATAGCACACACAACCATGTAGTAAAATAACAGAGAAAAATACCCAACTCATCTAACTAATAAGCACGCAAATAAAACATTTTAAAATGTATTTCTAGGCTAGTAAACTTGGAAAAACTAAAAATAAATGCTAGTATAAATGAAGGTAAAATGAAAGTCTTTAAATTTTTTTTTCTTTTTTAATATTTATTTATTTTGAGAGAGAGAGAGAGAGAGAGAGGGAACACAAGCCAGGGGAGGGGCAGAGAGAGAGGGAGATACAGATTTTAAAGCAGGCTCCAGGCTCTGAGCTGTCAGCACAGAGCCCGACGCAGGGCTCAAACCCACAAACCACGAGATCACGACCTGAGCCGAAGTCAGACATTTAACCGACTGAGCCGCCCAGGTGCCCCCAAAACGAAAGTCTTTTATTTTTTTTATTTTTATTTTTTTTAATTTTTTTTTCAACATTTATTTATTTTTGGGACAGAGAGAGACAGAGCATGAACGGGGGAGGGGCAAAGAGAGAGGGAGACACAGAATCAGAAACAGGCTCCAGGCTCTGAGCCATCAGCCCAGAGCCCGACGCGGGGCTCGAACTCACGGACCGCGAGATCGTGACCTGGCTGAAGTCGGACGCTTAACCGACTGCGCCACCCAGGCGCCCCAACGAAAGTCTTTTAAACATTGCTTGTAAACTGGTACCAACTAACCAAAGTCAAAATCGTGTTTGTAATTTTTTGTTTTTTTTTA